TCCTGGGACTCGATCCTGGGACTTGATCCTGGAACTCCAGAATCATGCCCCAGGCTTAAGGCAGGCGCTAAACCGCTGAGCCACTCAGGGACCCGCCCCCCCCAGTCTACAACTTTCTGATATGTCCTTTGTCTGATGATTTGTAACTTTTTATGTTAAAAAATGTATATAACCCCATAGCAAATGTTCCTTTGCCAGAGAAGTCTTGTGTAAAGATTGTGTATCCAGGGCAGCTGCCCTGACTTGGGCTCAAATTAATCTCCTTTCTTTTAGAAGTTCTAAAAGGTTTATTCATTTTGTGTCAACAGTTGTGTTTTTCACGTTTATTTGCCATTTGAATATTTTCTGTAACTTTCCTGTATATATCCTTGGTCATTATTTTATTCTTTTATTTACCTTTTTTTCCCCTAAGATTTTATTTATTTTATTCATGAGAGACACACACAGATAGAGAGAAAGGCAGAGACACAGGCAGAGGGAGAAACAGGCTCCATGCAGGGAGCCTGATGTGGGACTCGATCCCGGGTCTCCAGGATCACACCCTGGGCAGAAGGCAGCGCTAAACCTCTGAGCCACCCGGGCTGCCCATATTGTTTTGTTTACCTTTTACTGATGGATTTATAGTTCTTCATAAGATCTAGATAGAACAACCACTTGTCTGTTATATATGCAAATATTCTCTCTTCACCTCCAGTTTGTTGTCTTTCTAGTTTCACTGGTGGCATCTTTAAATATGTGGACTTTTGAAATTTATTCTAGTTAAGTATTTCAATTTTCTTCTTAACAATTTTGGGAGGCACTTGGGTCTAGGTTATGCATAAAAACTTTGCAAAGGTGTATGCTACAGTTATAGACAGTGATGTCATCAAGATGTACGTGGAGTACCATATTCATGGAGCAGGATAAATATTTGCTGCAAATCGATATGTGCTAGCACCGGGCCAGGTGCTTATCTATCACTTGATCCCTAAAGAACCCTTCCTAAGTAGGCAACATTGTTTCTCTCTTATACCTGAGGAAACTGAAATTTCAATGTCTCACAGCTAGTAGGTGACATAGTTGAAATGGCCCGTGTGCCTCAACTATGATTGCAAATTCATAGTATTTAATTAGCAGTTTGGTTTGAAACTGTGTATGAGATAACGTGTACATTTGGCTTAAGAGGCAAATAGGAAAAACACCTGGAAATTCTATTTGATCTGGTAGCTAAAAAAATGAAGGAATATAGACAATAGCGTACTCTTCTATAACTGGATTGATGAACCCTGGGTATTGTGAGATAAACGGTCAGATATTAAAGCAGTTAAAACATTTTATTTAGGAACTACCAATAGTAGAAGAAACAGCTGAGCTCCATTCTGATTTGTGCAGAAGTGATTTGGATGTTTTATTTTTTTTAATTTTATTTTTATTTTATTTATTTATGATAGTCACACACACAGAGAGAGAGAGAGAGAGGCAGAGACGTAGGCAGAGGGAGAAGCAGGCTCCATGCACCAGGAGCCCGATGTGGGATTTGATCCTGGGTCTCCAGGATCGCGCCCTGGGTCAAAGGCAGGCGCCAAACCGCTGCGCCACCCAGGGATCCTGATTTGGATGTTTTAAAGGGGGAATAAGGGAGGGAGATGATGAGGACCTAGTAGGGTCAGAGAACGAAGAATGACACAGGGTAAGTCAGCGTCAGTGTGATTAGGACAGCTCTGCTGGCTAGAAGTAGGGATTCTATCCCCCTGTAGAGACTGGGAAACAGAAGCTCTATCCTTCCTGCTGATTATATTCCAAAGAAAGGGTTTCAGGTCCTAGAGAGAGAGAGAGTGCATTAAGAGCGAGAAAGAAGTACTTCTGAGTTAGAGATACATGTCTCAATTGTAAGCCCTTTGAGAGGTTAGGGCCTATCATCAGGTGTTGGCTAGAACAAACACTAATTTTGGCAGCTGTGAATATGGGAACAAAGGACTCCAATAATTCGAAAGTAATACCTAACAGACAGAATGGGTTCCCTGATGTCACGGGAGGAAACGCTAACAATTTAAACAGGCAGAATGACCATGAAGAATAAAACCAGTCACCCAGCCTCAAGTGACAAGCTTGCACAAAATTCAGCAAAATTTGCAAAAAGACTCCTGCAACACTTTGTGTCATGCTCTCCAAGGGCTGCCGCATCCTGAAACTGCCACCAGAAATTATTGAACTGTATCCTGCTTGCCATTCTGCTCTTGAAACTAGTAGTTGGGGACTTAAGTCTGACCAGGTTCCATAAAAAGCACAGAATTTGAGTGTTTTGCCTAATTCTTCCCTTTCAGAGCATCCTCTTAGTTTGTAGCTGAAGGTTGCATTTCCCTATTTGCAAACTGCATGATAATACAACCTTTCCTTGCCTCTGACCAAATCCTCATATTCCAGGATTTTTTGTTGACAAGCTTTCTCAGGCAGGCATTTTATGGAGGTGAGAGGAACAGCACTGGGGTCAACCAAGCGACAGGCCGGGTGCAACTAGAAGCCGTATTGGAAGTTGGTCAGGTGTGTTAGTCTCATGGAGGTCTCCAGGAGCTTTTGTGTGCTTGAGAGATGTGCAGTTCTCACTAGATCTTGGAGCCATGATTTATGAGCAACATTAAATATAGAGATTGGAACTAGGGTGGTCAAGTCTAAAAATCACATCACATTAGAACCTTGAGAAAATTGAGCTTAGCCTAGAAAAGGTAAAGCCTAGGTAGTTGTCACAGTATGCTGTGGAGGTGCACACATGAGTCCTGTCTTTCCACAGTGTCAGCTTTATTCAGTCATAAAGCAAGGTTGACATAATTGTAAAGCAGTTTCAGGATTTCAAACTCAATTACTTTTTGCCACATGTTTACCTTGGCTTCCCATATATCATACCTAAGCAAAGCTAAGACAACAAAGTCACCCAACAAACAAGATACAATAAGGGGTAGGAAGTTAATGAACCAAAATCAAAGTCCGTCTGGGAGTGTACAGTTGAGATAAGGACTCACTCCAGTCAGAGCGAGCCCCTTGGCATGTGCTGCTTGTTATGTTCAAGCCATGGAGAATCTCTGTTCAGAGATCCATAGGGCCGAGCCTTTGTTGGCAATTGCCTTTTTGATGTGATCAGTGGTGAAAAGATCATCATCTAGAAAGTCTGACAGTTTCTTGCAAAGGTCCTCACTTTTTAAAGTTTAATCAGACTTGAGTCTTCACAGATCTCCTTTGGGTTTGCTGATTATGAGTCCTGGGTATCCTCAGCTTGTACTATTTTCCATGATATCTGGTCTTAGCGACAACATCTTTGGCTGCAAAAATCACTGCTTAAAATAGGTCACTGACATGAGTGACTCTATCTTGTTTTGTGCTCTCTTCAGTACATTTAGGATGATTATGAGCACCAGGGATCCCTCTAACATGTGGTATTCCTGGGAGTTGGTGGGGGGAACAATGACAGATACAGAGAGTGGATTTTTGCTTACCTTAAGAAATTTTCTGGTGATTAGGGTTGCTCAATTTTGGAAAAGGCTGCATGGCAACAGAATGAGCTCTCCATCCTGGGAGTGTTAAGGAACAAATGCAACCTCATTTGTTGGGTTGCTTAAAATTTGTTTGGGTAGCTTAAAATTTCTTCCATCTAAAGCTTGACTGACCTTGGGGCACCTGGGTGGCTCAGGCTGTTAAGCGTCCAATCCTTGATTTCAGCTCAGGTCATGATCTCAGGGTCCTGGGATAAGCCCCCAGTTCTTCTTAAGCTCAGTGGGGCATCTGCTTGAGGATTCTCTCTCTCTCTCTCTCCTTCTGCCCCTCCCCATGCTTTCATGCTGTGGTCTCTCTCAAACAAATAAATCTTAAAACAGCAAAAAAGGGATCCCTGGGTGGCGCAGCGGTTTAGCGCCTGCCTTTGGCCCAGGGCCCGATCCTGGAGACCCGGGATCGAATCCCACATCAGGCTCCCGGTGCATGGAGCCTGCTTCTCCCTCTGCCCGTGTCTCTGCCTCTCTCTCTCATTCTGTGTGACTATCATAAAAAAAAAAAAAAAAAAACTCAAAAAACTTGATTGACCTGGAAGATAAAACAGCAAGTTATGTTGTCAGCCCAATGCATTTCCTCGGGAATGGCAAAGCACTGCAATTCAGGACCTGCAAGCTACGGCAAAACCCGAGGCAAGTCCAACAAAGGGGAGGGCCCCATTATTTCAGCTAGAAGGAGGCTGCTTTGAAGGGATAGTTGCAGAAAAGCAAGAGTTCAGGGTGATGAGGGTTTCCCATTGGCCGGTTTGCAGGGGTTGCTCAAGGATGCCACCAACATCTTGTCTCGTTGGGGCCTGTTGCTTCCTTCTTCTGGAAGATTCTCCCGTTGGGGTCTCTAATCAGTCCTTCCTCTAACTGGCAGGCGAGCGGTCCACGTTAGGGAGGTTTCCCTTTTATTACTTTCCGACAACTTTTTCTGATTCGGTGCACCAGGGAGGGAGCAGGGGCTGGGCCGGCGCAGGCGGGCTGGGCAAGGATGCAGCAGGCAGGCGGGGGAAGCAGGGGGAGCGGGCCCGGGAGCACGCGCCCCCGGGGCGGACCGGCAAGTGTGCCAGGCGGCGAAGCCGGGCTGAACGCCGCGGAGGGCAGCGGTCGACCAGAAAGCCCGAGCGGGAGGAGGCGGGCGGACGGGACGCCGCGGCGCGGGGGCGCGTGCGCGTGCGCGGCTCGGCGGGTGCGCGTGCGCGTGCGCGCCGCTCCGGAAAGGGGCGGGGCCGCCTCGCGCGCCGTTACTTAAGCCTGGGAGCGCCTGCCGCGCGCCGCCGAGGCTCCTCAGCTGAGCTCCGAGCGGTCGATCGCGCTCCGCTCGCCGCCGGCTCCACCCGCCGTTGTGTAAGGGCGGCCTCCGCTCGGCGAGCCGCCCGCGTCCTGGGCGCGTCCTGGGCGCGCGGGGGGGCGGGGGGCGGGGCTCCGCGGTCCCCGGATGCTGGCGGTGCGCGCGCGGGGAGGGAGGAGGGGCGGCCCCCGGGCGTCGCGCCCCCGGTCGTGGCTCCTCCCCGCCGAGCGGGTCCGCGCGCGCCTCCGCCTCCGCCTCCGCCTCCGCCTCCGCCTCCGCCTCCCCGGGGTGGGGGCAGCTCCGCCCGGAAGCGGCCGGCGTTCCGGAGAGTTGGCGCGCGCTTAGTTAAGAGAGGAGGCGGCTTCTAACGCGGCGTTTCTGTTTCCTTACGGCCGAGCCCCGCGGGCCGGTATGGCGCATGCTTTCACCCCGTTGGAGCCCCTGCTTCCTACCGGTACTGTACCTTTCCCCGCGTCCCGGGGCCCCTGACCGGTCCCCTCGTCGCAGCCCCGAGAGGCCGGACGCAGAAAGTGTTCCCGTTGGCCACTGGTTCCCCAGTTCTGAGCCCCGAGGCCGACTCCCCGACCTCCTGCCTCAGTTTCCCCCCCCACGCCCCCCGTAAAAAAACAAAAAACAAAAAACAAAGCGGGGGCTAGACCGTCGTCCTGGCCACACGGAGCGGCTTGATTTCCCTGCCGGGCTGCCCTGGAGGCGCGCGAGCGCCCCCTGCAGCGGGAGCCCGTGGGCCCCGAGCCCTGCGACTGGGCTCATGCGCATCGCCTGCCCCGCCGGGTCATCCCGCCGGGGTGGTGGGTGGCCCTACAAGACGCCCCAGGGCCGCAGAACTCGCCTCAGGGTTGTCACTGTCTTAGAGCTGCAGGCCGCCCTCCACTGGGGCGCCGGCGGGAGGTGCATCTGCGAAGCTAGCATTCCTTGTCGTGTGTAGTCACGGACCCACGGGATAACCTCTTAGGGCTGTGTTTCCTCCCTCACCAGCTTTTCTTTGCAGTGTAGAACTTGTGTTTTATCAGTTTGCAAGCTTATTTAAAAAAAAAGAGAGAGAGAGATTTTTATTTATTTACTCACGAGAGACACGCAGAGGCAGAGACCTAGGCGGAGGGAGAAGCAGGCTTCTTGCAAGGAGCCCCGAAGCGGGAACTTGATCCCGGGACCCCGGGAATCCTGCCTTGAGCGAAAAGCAGTCGCACAACCACCGAGCCACCCAGGCATCCCTCAGTTCGGGAATTTCAACGGAAGGCATAATCCGATGTTTAAGGTTTCCCATAAACACATGAATAAACGGGTCTGGCGAGGGTATCCGGGGTTTGATGGGGTTTGATGTGGGCTTGCCCAAGTGGTTGCACATCCTGGGAGTGTGGATGGTAAAGAACAGGAGTTAGGGACCTGGACTTCTTATTCTCCAGTTATTCACTATGCTGAGTTTTCCACAAATGCCTTTATTATCTTGCTTGCAAGTGAAGGAAAGTGGTAACAGAACTAGTATCTAAACCCAAACCTGACTTGGTTAAGAGGTTTGGGGTTTAATTATTACTGTAAATAGCTTTTCTTTTCTTTCTAAGATTTTATTTATTTATTCATGACACACAGACACAGGCGGAGGGAGAAGCAGGCCCTGTGCACGGACCCCAATGCGGGACTGGATCCCGGATCCCCAGGATCACTCACACCCTGGGCTGAAGACAGCGCTAAACCGCTGGGCCACTGTACATAGCTTTTCAAAAGTTGAGAAACGCAATGGCCAACGTTTTTGCAATATAAGTTCTTGGTAACTCGGTTATCCCATGGTAGCCAAACCAACAGCATTTTTCCATAAGTAAATGTCAGATCTGCGTGTTCTGTTGATAATTTTGTTTTGTGGTGAAAACCTAAGTGCTTTACTGTGGTAAAGGAAAGTTTTGACTTTTAGTATTGCTGGGCCCTACCCCTGGGGTGCCCTGGGAAGCTAGCCTATACTCAGACATTTACTAAGGTCAGACTGACTCTGCAGAACCTCAAAGCATAGGCTCTGTTTGTATCCTGAGCACATATTGTACATCTGCTTCATTAAAACAAAACCCAAAAAGGAACATTTTGTACACAAAACAAAAAGGAAGAAACTTCCCTATTTCTCATAAAGTCCTAGGAACCCTGCAAATTCTAGAAATTTAACATCTTCAGCACTCTGAAATGTTGTCTATTGACTTGTAACTTTTTATGTAAAAAAAAAAATGTGTATAGTTGTATGCGAAATGTTCCTTTGCTGTAGCACACTTGTCTTTGCTAAGATAATGTATCTAGGGCAGCTGTCCTGACTTGGGCTCTAATAACATTTTTTTTTTAATTTTTAAGAAATTCTAAAAGATTAGCTCATATTGTAGCAATATAGGACTGAAGATTTCTAGTGCTTTCTCTGTTGAAAGGAATTTATCCTAGAGATAGTACAGTATAGTAAGGGAATCAGAATCCCTAGGTTTAAACCCTAGTTTTGCCACTATTTACTAGTGTTAAATTACAAAAATTCAACAGTGAATATTAGTGATGTAATTGACATTATTAATCAATTTGTGAAATCTGGCAGCATCCCAGCAGCAAGTAGAAGGGAGCTCCAGAAGGCTACAGAAAGGCAAAGGTTTTTCAAGGCAGGACAAGGAGATCAACAGAAATAAGGATTGTTTGGAATGAGGTCATCTTCCTTTGGGGAGATGGAGAATGGTCCAGAGAGACACAGGCAGAGGGAGAAGCAGGCTCCATGCAGGGAGCCCAACGTGGGACTTGATCCCGGGTCTCCAGGATCACGCCCTGGGCCAAAGGCAGCGCTAAACCGCTGAGCCACCCAGGCTGCCCTCAGACATTTAATGGGTACCTAGTAGCGAAATAGCTTTTCAGTCAGTAACTTCGGTGGATCTCATTTGTAGACGTGGTTTACCTGTGATACTTACGCAGATTTAGTGCAGCCGGCTGCCCAACAGTTAAGCTGGCTCTCTTAGCTAATTGCCGGGTGGACCAAAATGTTTACCCCTCTGAGATCCCTAGGTCAGAGAAAGATTTATGGGTTTTTTGGATTTGATTTTTTAGTAGTGGGGAAGCAACTAAAAAGTAAGTGTTTATTATTTAAAGAAAAACAACTAATGTAGATTGTGAGAGTAACTTATTAATAGTTGGCATATGTTCTAAATACTCATTTTGGTCCATAGGCCTCAGCATGTTATTAGTCTTGTTTTAAAGAAAATGGATTCATATTATAAATTGTTTTGTGAACTATTCTTTTGGGATAGTGAAATTTTTTTTTTTTTTTTACATTGTATATGTTCAAATTTTTTCAAACAAGTGTTTCTAAAGTCCATCCTACTTAGCCAATGTTATCATTCTAAAATTTTGCTTTTGTGAATTCTGTGTGTGTATATGTGAAAATAAGTAAGATAAGAACTGTTTACCATTTTCCAGCAACTTTTTTCATTTATTATGTTATCCATTTATATAGATATCCCAAGGTTTCTTTTTAACTTTAATTCCAATGTGCCTAATATATAATTAGTTTCAGGTGTACAATATAGCGATGCAAAAAAAAAAAAACCCAACAACAACAAAAAAACGATGATTAGATGCCACGAAGTAGGTGGCAGGGACTTAACTGTGTGTATGTTTGTTGTCAGGCCTGAGGGCCTCATCCATCCTTGTCAAGGGGAGTACTCATTTTCTCTCCTTTCATACAACACTCCAAGTTGCACTATAGACTCAAATGAACTAGTCTTTCTTATTAGACATTTAGGGTATTTCTAGTTTTTATTGTTACTATCTACAATGCATATTTTTGATCATGATGTTTTTGCATATATATGAAAGTGTCAGTATTATAAATTCCTAGAAATGAAATTGTTGGATAAAAGGGTATGTTTGCATTTCTGTTATCAGGAGGAACCGACAACTAGCTAGTGTGTATTTTTTGTTAGTAGGTGCTGTAGGGGTACAAAAGTGAAAGATGTGATCTCTTCTATTCACGAGTTTATGGTCTGGTTGGAGAGTTGAGAACAAAATAAATTCTAGTTAGATGTTGAATTATGTATTATAGGAACCCACATAGAGAAGGTAGGAACTCAGGGGAAGGAGATGAGTACAGTTTGGAGTAGGCAGGAAGTCATGGAATGGATAGACCTCAGCTGTGCCTCTTTAAAAAGCACTAGATTTCAATTGAGAGTAGCCTAAGGGGAGCAAGAGAGTAACACAGGAGATGTGCCCTGAGTGAAGGCTTAGTGCTGCCTTCGACCAGGTGTGAGGTCACCTGGTGGTGAGTGAAGAGAAGTAGATCTGAGAAGGTTGGAGAGTGCAGATGAAGATTGTGGTTGAGGAGTGAGGGTAGTACCAGATTGTGGAGGATAGAGAAATTTAATGCAGGATGGGAGACAAGAAGTGTTTCTGAAATTTTCTGTATCTCCCCGCCCCTTGGAACATTTTTTTTTTTTTAAAGATTTTATTTATTAATGAGAGAGAGAGAGAGAGAGAGAGAGAGAGAGAGACAGGCAGAGGGAGAAGCAGGCTCCATGCAAGGAGCCCGACGTGGGACTCCATCCCAGGTCTTCGGGATCACACCCTGGGCTGAAGGCAGCACCAAACCACTGCGCCACCCGGGCTGCCCCCCTTGGAACATTCTATGCAAAGCTATCATCTCTGTCACAGTTCTGTATTGTTAATCTCATATGGGTTAAAGTCCTTCTGTTGGACTTGAAGATGCTTTGAGTTCTGATTCCTAACTACTTTTCCAGAATACATTTTATCCTCTGTGCCCAAGCCAAGTGAACTACACATGTTTATTAGAACATTTGTTCCAGATTTAATACTCTTGCCTTAGCTTATGCTAAATTTATCCCCTAGAATGTTCTTTTTCAATCCTTAGAATTAGTATTACATTTTAGCCATTTGGTGGATGTCTAGAGGTATCTCTGACTTTAATCTATGTTTCTTTATGGCAGAATGCTGATTTTTTTTAACGTTTATTGGCCTTTTGCAGGTCTTTTGTGAAATATTTATGACTCTTGCCATAAAGAAGGGGAGGGGTCTATCGTTTTACTTTTTTTTTATTTTTAAGTAATCTCTATACCCAACATAGGGCTTGAACTCATGACCCTTAGATAGTCACATGCTCTATCAACTGAGCCAGATAGGTGCTCCATCTTTACTTTTTTTTTTTTTTTTTTTTTTTTTTACAAATTAGTAAAGAGTTGCCTGGCTGATGCAACATGTGATGCTCAGTGTTGGGATTGCAGGTTCAAGCCTCACGTTGAATGTAGAGATTACTTAAAAAATAAACTATTTTAAAAAACAATTTGTAATTTTTGTTTTTCTACAAATTGATGTATAATTGACATAATACTGTATTAGTTTCAGATGAACCGCTTAATGATTTATGTGCATAGTATTGCAAAATGATTGCCAAGCAGGAGTTTCTCATATACTCTG